CTCACTGTTGCCGTGCAACCATCTCCTGCACAAGGGCTTCCCGAGGCCAGCCGGGCCTCACCGCACTTCCAGCAGCCTGCTCTCCTCTCAGAGGTTGGGAGGGACTCTGCACCTGGATGTCCAGGCTGGAAGGCAGGAACTGAGCATGGTGGTGACTCAGCTGGTGAGGCACTAGGGCCAGCAGCTGCAGCAGGGATGGCTCCACGAAGACTGACTACACATACCATGGGAAAAACTTCTGGGGGCGCCCTGAAAGAATGGAACAGGGATGATGTCAGCTAAAAAGAATGTGCCCCCAAAGAATCTGAGCAGTCACGGTGCTGAGCTCCATCCCCACCTCAGGAGCTACACAAAGAGCCTGTATAGCAGACAGCCAGGGAGGCCGAGGAGCTTGCCAGCACCATCCTTTGCATCTGAAGAGCAACAGCACCAAATGAGCTTGGTAGGAAGAGGGGTCTCTGCTGCTCTTTGCCCAGGGGGAGGGGGCTCTGCAAGGAGCTGCAGCCCATTGGGAAGGCACAGGCGGGACTTAGGGGCTCTGCTGGCTGCAAGGGTAGCGCAAGAGCTATTTGCCTGAGAGTCTGAGGGGTAGAACCTCTTATCCGGCAAGGAGGAAGCTCTAGGAAGCTCTGAAATCGGGTGGGGGGCATTATGGCCAGTGGACTAGAGGGGGTCCTCTGCATAGATTTGCAGCCTGGTGAGGGCTTTTGCCTGGGTAAGGTCTCTGCTGCTTGTTGGAGGAGCATTTGGCTGGTGGGGAGGAGGGATCCTTTTTGCTGTGGGGGAGCTGTAATGGCTCTGCTGCCTGACAGTGGGTGGTCTTTTAGCTAGCAGGGGTTCTACTGCCTCGTGGTTGGGGAGAGCCCAGCTTTATTCTGAGTACCAGCCGACCCTGCCTGACAGCTGCTGACTGGAGCTTATTGAGCTACAGATTTTCCTCCTCCCGGTGACAATCAAAGGGGAAGGAAAAACCCAGGGTGGGAAGAAGGAAGGAAGGAAGTTCCCCTCACCACAACAATGCAGAACCAGGGAACATATAGAAGTCTCTGAACCAGCCTTCCCCAGTTGATGACAATAGTCCACCAACCTCAACTGCAGGTTAGTGCATTTTTAACTTTGCCAAGAAAATTGGCCAGAGCCCACCCATTTACCCCCTCTCTGCAGACCCCCTCTCTGTGAAGAGGTTACAATAGCCTGAGGCAAAGAGAAATTTTCTCACCCTGCACAGCTTGAGCAGGAGGTAAGAGAAGTACATATCAAAAACTGAGGTTAGTGGAACTTGAATTACATCTCCACATTGCACAGTGCTGCCAAAAGGATATTTGTTTTCCTCCTCCATGCATAATGAGCCAACCATCCCACGACATGGGAATTACCTGCCCTAGAAAGCCCTGGCTCTCCTGTGCAGAATAACACCCCAAAAATATTGCAGCTAGATAGAACAGTATATGGCCAATGAAACGAAAGACTTACTAATCCTGAATATAATATACGTACTGTTCAGAAACAAGTAACCCTTTTCTAAATTGGTTCAAGTTGCAAATGTCAGACCACCTTCTGTGGTATTGATTTTTGAAAAAAGTTACACATAAAACAATATAAATGTAAAACAAAAAGGTTCTTTACTGAATACTGTAGTTTGAGTTCCTTAGGTGTGGGTTTAAAGGAGGTACTGATTAAATTATCAAATAAAACTGACAGAAATTCAACTAGTGGACCTAATTCTACCCTCAGAGACACCCATGCATCATCACTGAAGGCTGCACAGAAGTCACTGAGGGCAGAATCTGGCCCAGGAACCATGACCGTTTTAAGAAAAAACACCAGCAGCAAGGTTTCTAAAAGAAAAAAAGTAAGCTTAGATAGTTGTCCAGCAAAATACATGTACTGTAATATATTCTTTTAACGGTCATGTGTTATATTGACCGCTAGAGGGCACCCACAGCATCCCATTGGTTCTGCAGAACCTGTATTCTGAGAATATACATTGTAAATCCTGTTAACATGAAGTTTCAGACAAGAAGGTCATGGTGAAAAGAGAAACAGATGAGGAAAAGATGATGCATTTTCCCACCTTTTGGCTATGTATTTCTTTATGAGCTAACACACACTGGCTTGGTGAAGTTAGTGTCGAATATATGTCAGCAGCTTTTGGGAGTGGTAAATTATTCTATAAAAATGTTGATGTTTAAACTGTGAAAGAAAAATCAATGCATCTGTACCCACTGGTCAGCATATGTGATGTGTCACCCTCAGTGCCCAGTCCACAGAGGATCCCAGTGCTAGAAAGTCTGGCACTCTCACCCAAGCTGTGGCAACTCAAGCTTTTGGTTCTGTGGTTCAGTCCCTGGTGTTGTAATCACGTAATTGGAGTCTTGTCTAGGACTGCTAGTTATAGGTATAGTTATACCTGCCAAAGGTACAGGTCTGTTACAGAAACTGTCACTTTAGCTCAAGCTGAAGAGATTCATGCTTTTCTTTCTGAAAGTCCCCAATTCAATCCCTAATATGCCAGCCATGCTGGTGTCAGTCACACATCCATTCACTGTTCAGGGTTCTATCATACTGTGTTCCTTGTAATCTGATGTTGTACAGAAAAAAGAGGAAAAATCAGCTAGAAACAACACTGATTTATTTACAGCAAAGGAATTTTATTCTTATTTTGCTCTGAAGTAAAACAAAACTTAAATGAAAACTCTGGGTTTTGGTGACTGATTTTGTTATCACTTTGGCATTGCTATGGCCAGTACATAATATGGCTAGCATGGATGCAGTGAAATAATTGCTGTCTTCTAGTAGCATTTAATAAACACGTGATTCAAGAAATAATGGTTTTCCACGTTAAGGACATACTGCCTTACAACACCTTACTGCCATGAACACTGCCAGACGCTGCATGTTGATTTGACATCATTCTAGTTCCACTCAGTTACAAAAGAACAAATATAGGATTTCAAATCTACTATGCCTGATCCTTAGTGATATTTCATACAATGTACACCAAAGATTGCATCAAAACTAAATTCCTTATTGCATTCAAGTGCTAGCCTGATTTTTGGGGGTGAGCGTGTATGCTGTCCAGGGGAAGCAGATTTTATTTCTGCATTATTAGTAAATAACGTTAAGTATTTGACATGCAAAAACACATAGGATCAAAGCTGGTAAGTTTTGTTCTCACTGTTTATGGAAATTGTATTTACATTGCACTCCCTGCTCCTGCCATCCAAGCTTAGATAAGATAATGATTTGAAGTGTTTGGCCCAGGAACACAATGCTACAGTGAATAGATGAGGCCTGATGCTGGCAGGATCCTTGAAATCCAGAATCCAAGGTCAGAGACATAGACTTAGCTGCTGATCACAGGCTGAGCAGTTTTCAGAGTAGCAGCCTTAGTCTGTATCCGCAAAAAGAACAGGAGTACTTGTGGCACCTTAGAGACTAACAAATTTATCTGAGCATAAGCTTTCGTGAGCTACAGCTCACTTCATCGGATGCGTACAGTGGAAAATACAGTGGGGAGATTTTATATACACAGAGAACATGAAACAATGGGTGTTACCATACAAACTGTAACAAGAGTGATCAGGAAAGGTGAGCTATTACCTGCAGGACAGCAGGGATGGGAAGGAACCTTTTGTAGTGATAATCAAGGTGGGCCATTTCCAGTAGTTGACAAGAACAGTAGGGGGGAAACAGACTCCAAGGAGAGACTGCTGAATTGGAATTAATTTGCAAACTGGATACAATTAATTTAGGCTTGAATAAAGACTGGGAGTGGATGTGTCATTACACAAAGTAAAACTATTTCCCCTGTTTATTCCCCCCCCCCCCCCCCACTGTTCTTATCAACTGCTGGAAATGGCCCACCTTGATTATCACTACAAAAGGTTTCTCCCCACCCCCGCTGTCCTGCAGGTAATAGCTCACCTTTCCTGATCACTCTTGTTACAGTCTGTATGGTAACACCCATTGTTTATGTTCTCTGTATATATAAAATCTCCCCACTGTATTTTCCACTGAATGCATCCGATGAAGTGAGCTGTAGCTCACAAAAGCTTATGCTCAGATAAATTTGTTAGGCTGAGCAGTGAAGATGGTGCAGCTGATTGCTGGCCTGGGGCTATGCTGCCTTGTTTGAGAAGTACATCATGACCCAGGTTTCAGAGTGGGGCAATTGGAATCATGTTTGGCTAAGGGCAGGAATGGGAACAGGGACACAGATGTAAGGCGCTGGTGTCAGAGCTGGGCAGGGGGCACTAAGGAAGGAAACTAGAATCATGCTTGCTGGAAGTTCACCCCAATAAACATTGAATTGTTTGCACCTTTGGACTTCGGGTATTGTTGCTCTCTGTTCATGCGAGAAGGACCAGGGAAGTAAGTAGGGGATAAGGGAAAGAATTCATCTTGGGTATAGGGATGCACAGAGTCTGCCTAAAGTTTTGTTGGAGCTGAGCCTTTTAACCATAATCTCCTCAACCCCAGGGGCTGACTTTTACAAATGGCATTCACTAAAAAACCCAAAGATCATTAATAGCAGCAGCCTCCCGAGCCATGTGATCTCTGGAAGGTAATGGATCCTAGCTCTGCATCAGGCAGACTTCTACAGGGGAAGGTCAGCCAGCTACAGTTCTCCTCAGAAAGGTCACTTGCACAGTAGTGGGGTGTGACATTTCCCTTATTGCGCAACATCCTAGCCCTCTTCTCTCTCCCCACCACAATCATTGTCAGCTGTTATAAATCCACCTCAGGGGATTCTAGGGACTTTCTTGTATGGCAAAGATATGGGGGAAAGGAGAGACTTGAAGGGCTCTCGGGAAGTCTCCCTGGCTGGGTTTGCATTAATGAAACAGTGGCTGGGAATCTGGAGGCATCTCTTGATTGCCATAGAGTGTTGTGGCTTGGGAAAGGAACCGTACCACAGATCAGAAGTGAATATAGGGCACTCTGCATTCTCTTCTTTTTTGAAGTTATTAGAGCTCATAATCCCTTCTTAGCTCTACCTGTTTGAGCTCCAGTCAGCCAAGTACTAAGTATTATTTATTTATCTTTATTAATTTGGAGCCATGGGATCCTTTGTTTTCTTCCAATTCCCAATGTTCAGTCAGTTGAATGAGAACCTACTTCCCTGTTAGCATGTCAAGTCCCAGTATATGTTCACTGGAGTCTCCTGAAGTCATTCCCAGGAGCCAGGAGGGTGGATGGTCTGGAAAAGGGATAGTGTGGAATCAGTTAATAGTGGGGCATTCCACTGTCACATAGCATGCTGATTCTTTGCCCTCTGAATACAAGGAATACCTACAGCTGCAGAGCTTGGAGGCCCTTGGTGTTTCTGTGGCTCAGCAACCCCAGAAGCAAATTTCTGCCAGATTGTGGGCCCTCACAGTCTTGCTGACAACCATTTGAATGAACCGCTGATAACAAGGGAACATTCTGTAGTGCTGCATTTCTTATCTCGAAACTTGTTCTGTTTACATCGGACAGACTTTGTTTTCTGAAACTGTCAACTGAGTAAAAAAATGGCAGCTCCTCTGTTCATCCTCATTTCTCCTGTTTGAAATGGTGTTGTGTGCTGCTATTGTGAACATTTCACCACCACCTTTGTCCTGGGTTATCACCACTCTCTCCAAAGTTGGGTTCATATTGCATGTTGCAGTCTCTTGGTCACTGCATCCGCACAGCTGAATGAAACACCTCCGGAACTAGAATTATAAAATAAAGGAGATTAACTTTTTTTTAAACCTTACCATGAAGCTTAAAATATCTCTGTGAGGCTGTTTGTGTTTTGCATGAAAACATTTGGAAATCCTTGCGTGAATCAACATTTCAGGATTGGGAATGTGTGGAAATAGCTGTCGGAACCATAAAATGTTTAGATTTGCAGCTGACATAACAAATAAAGTCATGAGTGCCAGTAAATGTATCAGCTGCTCTTTCATTATCTCACCTAGATACAACTTCCATTTCAAGTCCTTTTTTCTTTATTATAATAATACTCTGCATTCTGATTTTTAATACCACGAACCACTACTGTTCATCCCACAAACCATTCCTTTCCACTGAGTTTCTTATTACTGTGTCTATCAGCAAAGCAGTCAGGTTTCTTCCCCTTGTCAGCCCTCCTTCAGCTCCATGCAGCCAATCCTCCCCACCCCACCCCCCCCGAAAAATGTATGCTATCTCACGCACACCGTTTTCCCCTCCTCCACAAACACACACATACATTTCCCCTTCTCACAAATTCTGCAAACACACCCTAACATTGCTTCTCCTTGTACACACCTCACAACATCCACCAATGTTACAATGCCCAGAAAATGACAAAAATTGAATGGGAGAGTCTTGCAAACTGAACTTTCATTAAGGAACCAGAATAATTTGGAAGGCTTTTTTTTCCATTCTTCTCCAACCCTAACTTCTACAACTACTATTACTAATTATTGTTATTTTATTTAATATTTATATTGCAGCAAAGCTTAGAGACCAGCCACCTCAAGGTCCTTGCCCTATAATATACAGTAGATGGATATAAATATTGGGTTATTTTAATTCGGAAAGATGTGTAATGTAAGTGGAGCAATATTTATCTAAATGAATTCACATGTAGGTAGATAATTAATTATTGAAACAATGCCTTCACTCAGGAATGAGTCAAACAAAATATCAAAAGAGTATTGAAGGCATACAGTACCTGTTTGTTCATAAAGACATAAATAATCGGATTATAAACTGTAGCTGTTTTGGAAAAGAAAGCTGGAATTGCGGCCAGACGAGGCTCCAGCTCAATGGAAGGCCATGCGGTGACAAGAATGGAAAAGGCTGCATATGGAGACCAGCAGAATAGAAATGCAAGGATCATAATAATAACCATTCGAGCGACTTGTCTTTCAGGTTTCCTTGTAGTCCCCAATCTGCCTTGAGTATCTGACACCTTTAAAGAAAAACATATAAGGTTCCAGAAAATTTGGTAGAAAATAATATTGATGAATTATATAGTCAGTTGCTTGACCACACTTTGGTTTGTTATTTTGTTATGAAATATACTCAACAGAGGAAATAATCCATGTCAGTCAGGTTTATTAATATAGTACAGGAAAAAGGATCTACACGATAGCAGTCTCAGAAGATCAGTCCCATGCAGTGATGTTACATTCCCCTTATGCACAAGATGTGCTCCCTGAAGTTACATCCCCAAAGCCATCTTTTTATACCCTACCTGTTTACCAGTAAAAGGTACCATATACATCACCTGAAACTAGATTCAATTAAACAGCTTTTTACCTTGTTTGTTTCTGGTACCATGGGGGTACCCCTTTATCTTTTGGTCTGAACCCCTGCATTCAGGTCATGATGTACCCTTATCTTTGTTCTGAGCACATGCATTCCAGGTACCAAGGGGCCTCAAGACATCTCATAGGTTTGTGTGAGTAACTCCTTTCCTGTTGCCATGAGGAAATAATCATATGTCCTGATACTGACAGTTTTCCTATCTACTCAAGCCAAGGCTTGCTTCAGCTCATGCAAGTTGTTATGGGATACTTAGCCTAAGTGAACAGGATTATAACAAAGATACAGGCCAATTTGGGCTAAATAACTGCTTTAATAATGTGTAGACTTAAATGCTTGGACTATATATGGTGGGTAGTATTATCAGTATAATATATATGTATGCAAGCTAGCATATATTAGCTAACTATAAGAAACAAAGACACGGATCTGTAAATCTAGTAAGAAAACTAGCTGCTTTTTTGGAGACAACCTGTAAGGTTGCTGTGACTAGATCATAGCATGTGAGGTTCACTGAGGACTTATGTGAATTACAAGTGGTATCATTATTAAAGTTTGGGGGTTTTAAAGGACAATATCTTTGATTACAAAGGAGTAGCACTAATTCTTTATTTTACAATCTCACAGCCAAATTCTTCCTGCCTTACTCAGACACAATCCCAGTGAAATACTTAATCCTATTGACTTTAGTCATGTGCAAAGTGCACAAGATTTGGCCCTCTATTCAGAATTCAGGGGGCCGGGGTGTGGATAGGGAGCAGGGGAGAGGTCCTGGGGGGGCAGTTAGGGGCGGGGGTCCTGGGAGGGCGGGGTCAGGGCACAAGAAGCGGGGACGGGTTGGGGGTTCTGTCAGGGGACAGGGAACAGGGAGGGTTGGATAGTGGGTGGGGTCCCAGGGTGGGGGTTGGATGGGCCGGGGGGGCAGTCAGGGGTCAGGAAGTGAGAGGCGGCAGATAGGGAGTGGGGGCCAGGCTGTTTGAGGAGGCACAGTCTTCCCTACCCAGCCCTCCATACCATTTTGCAACCCCGTTGTTTGCCCACCCCTGTCTTAAAGCTATGATCTCGTCTACAAAATCATCTTCTTTGTCTATCAGTCCAACCAAGCACCTCTCCTTATGAGTTCCTTCACCAGCTTCGTCAATTTCAGACTTCTTTTTCCTTGATTTTATGATCCTGACCCTGCCTATAGGTCTAAACACAGAAGTTGTGCCAGTTTCACTCAAGGTCTGATGTTAAACTGAATTAGTTAAACCAGTGCAACTTTGCACATGGGCACTTAAACCAGTTTAAGCCTGACTTGCACCCTGTTTAGCTTGCACCTGGAAAAAAAAGAGATCATGGTGAGTCAAATAACAGATATGCAGCACCTGATTATGGTGCTAATTGTTCAGAGTGCTTTGGAGACAGATAGAAGTGTGATAGTAATGTTAACAGGAATTATCCTTATTGTAGTTGTACATGTGCCTACCTAGTCACCAGGAGTGATCATTAGAGCACAAGGAGCAGAGATGCCAGAAGTGTATATCAGACACTCTGCTGCTGCATGCCCTTCACCACCAGAGAGTAGGGAAGAAGCACTGTGAATTGAGCACAGCAGGATTAGGACCGCATATGTGGTAACTTGTCTTCCTGCAAAGAGCACTTGGGAAGCTTAGAGGTATTTATTTGACATAGGATGTTGAGGGATATTCTCATGCTGGGCAACCTGAGGAAAGGGAAATGATAGCACGTGACAAAGTAGATTCAGCTGAAGGGTTACAATCCTACATTTTCCACTGTTCCTGCGGCATTTTAGGGGCAGAGTTTTAAAAGTATTTAGGCTCCAAAAGGTGCAGATGGCACCTAATGGCATTTTTAAAAGCACCTAGGCACCTAACTCCCAATGGGGAATGCTTTCAATTTTGCACTATATGTTTTTCCACCTGATTTGATTGCATTTGCTCTTGATTTAGCAGGGATGATTTTGTTTTGTTTTGCTTATAAAATCTAGTATGAAAAGAGATTGGTTTATTGCTGTTACCCCTTTCATTGGAATGCATACCTGAAACTGATTGCTTGATTACAATAATATATTTTCCTTTTTTAAAAAAGAGGCTCTGAGGCATTATGATTTTGCATAAGATTCCAAATTATTTAGTCCTAAAGTTGACTAACTCAGTAGTGAATTTGGAACCCCAGAGTTAGCAGGAATAGAGGCATTCTATGATATGTTTGAAATGATGGCTGTTTGCAGTCAAGCATAGAAACAAAGAGTGAGGTGAGTTAAAACTATAGCAATTAAGAGTACTTAATAGTAATGATGATACATAAATAATTATTTGAGATGTATGTTGTGCTAGTAGGAGCCCCAGTCATGGACCAGTGTTAAGAACTGTACAACACAGAACAAAAAGACAGGCCCTGCCCCGAAGAGCCCATGACATTTATATGGTGCTTTTCATATGTACCTATGTAACACTGACAGACAACGGTCATTGTCAGCAGGGATAAAATCTGGGACCTCTGGAACTTAACGCAAGAGCCTCTACTGTATGAACTAAAAGACACATGTCTCTTAGCCAAGGCTATAGCGGGCTCATCAATCTCTGGCTGGTCTGGGTGCCACTAAAGGGGGACAGAGTGCAACACCCAGCAGCATGGGTTACACATACCTAGGAATCACTTCACCCATATCTGAAATACAGTCACCTCTGAAGAAGAACACTAGAGTATTTTAACCAATAGTATCGGTTTAGGAAAGGTGGTGAAGGAGAGTAATATACACATTTGAAACAGATGATTAAAGGATTAAGTTATTTAAATTCCTGCACCGCTTCCCAAACAAGTCGGATTTCTAGAAGGAATTAGGAATTCCAGTTCTCAGTTCCTATTTTTACTCGTTTCTGTTTATTTTGGTTATTTTAATGCCTTATAACTTCCTAGAGAAATCAATTTTTATGGTTTTATTTGAACTGTGACAGCCTGCATCTGAGCAAATATCATTTGGGTAATTAGAAAGATGTAGCGCTTTTACAAATAATCATAAAAGCGATCATTTATTGTTTGCATTGTGTGCTGTAAGCTGTGTGTAACCACACCTATACACCCATACACTGAGCTTCTGTATTGTTATTATACATTACCAAGAAGTGAACTACAGAGAGTAAGAACTGGATGTAATAAGGGGTGAAATCAGCAGAGTGCCTAGTGAGGAACCTTGCCTCTTTCTATTTGCTAGTTGTTTTCAGTAGTTTATTTCTTTAAAAAGCAGATTCTAAAACAGTTACAATCAATGTTGTTTTATCAGCTATTTTTAGTTTTAAACTGAAAACCTAAATCCCTAAATGAAATAGTCATATATTGTCATATATTTACTGAAGGAGTTTGTTTTCTATCCAGATCGGATCTGTAAGGCCAAATTAAATAAGGTTAAGTAGTCAAGCCTTCAGAGAAGATTTTGTTTTGGGAGATGTACTGATTTTTTTCTCTGTAGAGATGCGGGCGGGACTTGTTTTGTTTGTTTTTCAAGGATTGAGTCTTCCTCTGAAAGATGAACTGTATGTTCAGAATGGAAAGTCTAGCTGCATTACGAGAACTGTATTTGTTAAATGTACTGACTAACCAGACAGAGAATGGAGTTCAGCACAAAACCAAAAGAAAATGAACCTCTAACATGTTTTATAGGCTCCACAAAGGTCTACCAGCTGTCCACACACAGTTAAGATGTCTCAGCTGCATACAAGCCAGCCCACAGGAGCTCAAAGATATTTGGCATTTTTCTTACGCTGTACTCAGCAGTTTTCAAAGTCTCCTTTTAATTATTTCCTAATATACAAAATAGAGAGGGACTCATCCCAAAACCTCAGTTCCAAGCACTGCTAAATTTTGGGAAGGATCCAACCATCCTCCAAACTTTGCAAGCAAGGCTCATCTCCAGTACCAAAAATTGTTCGCCTGATTCCAAGGCAGAGCTAATACATTATGACTATGGTGTCTACGAGGACAAGACAAACACTTTGGGGATATTTGCAAATGCATTTCCGAAGTCCTTCTTTGAATCATGACGGGTTTGAGTTCAGCAGATAGGTATCGCATAGTGTGTCATGTGACAGCATCATCAGGTGATGCCAACCAAGAGAAGTCTGTACTTCCTGGAGCATAGGTGGTCATGCTTACACTGCAGAACAAGCTGTGTGGGGAAGAAGCCAATAAAAAAGAGCCCTGAGCTCTGGGAACCTACCCCTAAGGTGCAGGTTGGAGAAGCCAGTCCTATTTTTTCATGTGGTGATTCTTGCAAGGGAGAATAGGAGCAGAGGGCAAATACAGTATGTTTAACTGGCTGTGTAATGGTCTGGTGATGCTTGTGACACAATGTGCAAGGCACACACACTCTCTCCATGCAGTGGCAGTCCTTTCACAAACCAACTCCATCAACAACTCTGACAGTGACCCTAAATCACATCTCCCTTCATGTCCATTCTTCTCTTCCTTTCTCCATCCCATTTCCCTGTTACACTCCCCAACATTTCTGTGAACTGAAAAAAAGGAATGGGTAGAAAGGGACAGAGAAAGCAGATGCAGGAAAACGTGGAGAGGTGGATGCTCAGAGAAATGGGGTGAGAGAGAGGTAGAGAAAACAGATGAACAAGTGCTAGGAGCGAGAACAGGAGGAAGGGTGAATCCTGTAGCCCACAGATAAGAGGAGCAGTATTAGCTATAAAGGGAAGAGGAGAGCCAAAGCCTGCTCTCTCAGTATTCCACTGCTGTCTCTCAAATACTTGTATAACCCACTCTCTATATGTGTGGTGTTTTTCCTTATATGGCATAGCCCACCCAGATGAAAATATCATACTCTCCATCTATTAATTATTCCTGTAACTCAAGTGGGTGAGCTTGGTGCTAAGTTGCTGACAGTTGTGGGTTCAAATGATGATGATGTATGTGTGGAGGTGAAAAATTTATACACGTCTGTGTAATAGTTAGTCCAAGGAGTGACTTGCGGGATGTATTTAGAAGTGAATTTGGATATTGTGTTAACGTTGGTTTCATGATTGTATGTTTAGTGTTTTTGTTTTGGTTAGTGGGAGCTGTCCTTTTAAGAACCGTGTGGCAGATTCAGAATGTATTCAAGACTGTCAAGGGCTTGGCTACACCTGGAGTTACTTCTGATCAAGAGTGAACTCTCTTAAGAACAAGAGTACCTTGTTGCTGTTTAGTTTGGTTAAGCTACACATGTGTGGAAGATCTTGCCTGTGTTCCCAGAAAGCAGAAGATCCTGCCTGTAAACTCCATAAAATGTCAGAACTTGATTTCAAATGAACTTATCCTTCCAGAAAGTCAGCCCCATTCTTGAATGTGTAACTTCAGTGCTTAAGGGGTGCCTGAGGGTATTGCTAATGAGCTCCAGAGCCTTTCACTTGTAGGTCACCCATTTGTATCTTGCTTAGCTCAACAGGGATTAGATCTTGTTCCGATCTAAGGGAAGCTGGATGACCCCTGTATGCGATACGTTTAGCGAATCCCAATTCCAGCTCCCACACCACTAACTCACCCCTACATTTTGCACTAGGTTGTAAATTCTTCATGACTTTCCCTTACTCTGTGTTTGTACAGCAAGTCGCACAGTGTGGCCCCAAACTCAGTTGGGGACTGCAGTGAGAGCTCCAACTGGGGGGAGGGGGCAAAATCACCTCTCTGATTCTAAATTTGTGAAAGTTGGCAACACTGGGTTATCCCACACACATTAAAGGGCAGGCACAGGGAAGTTCAGAAAACAGAAGAAGGATTGAAAACATGATTCAAATTTTTTTTTTAATCTTTTGATTTTGGGGCCAATCTCATGATTTTTTGAACTTTTGGGATGTATTGCAATATATAAATAGAGGCCTGGATTCTGGGCCATGCTCCAGCTGTTGTGTACTGTTCTACTGGCACACACTGATGATAAACCCAGCAGATCCAGTTCTCAGAGGTTCTCACCTAAGTAAGTTTTTCAGATGGCATAGAACTGCCTTCGATGGCATGATTGAGGTGTTCCTCTGCAATCCCTAGCTGCCGGAATGTCCCCTTTGAGCTCTTGGCAGCTGTCACAGATGAGAGCAGGCTGAAGGCCAAAGGGTACTCTAACCTGGGCCAGCAAACTAGCTCAGTGCAGTGTCTCCAGGACTCGGAAAATACAAAAGAGATGCCTTTTTGCCCCATTCTCCCTTCAGCTATGCAAAGTGTTTCTCAGCCACAGATGAGCATATGATGCAAAGTATCTAAACAGAGATGCAGTCTTGACAGGAGCTATAAACTCTGTTTCCACACACGCACTCCTTCCCATTAATCCTAATGGAGCTGTTGTGGGTTACTCCACACTGTGTGCCCGTGTGTAAATGACAGCTAGGATGTATTTTTCTGGTACTGTGTTTGGATAGTATTTTGACTCTGCTCCATCTCTACTTGTCTCACATTAGCCTGTCCCTTCTAATTCTGGCTTGTCACAGATGACAATGTATTCCTCCTAAACCCAGGACCAATTAATTGATAAGGAGCGCTGAAGTGATGCTTTATATGACAAATGAAGGAATGAAGCATAAGGTCTTTATCTCTGTTGTAAATCACTAATTAAAAACTTTCCTTAAATTGTTCAGTCCTTTAGTAACTTTCAAACTGGTTTTTTAAACCTTCTGTTGGATCCGTAGAGACATAAATATTGAGAGATGGGAGTTCTGCGGTGAGTGGCTCTGTTTGGAAAGAAACTGATGAGACCCCAGAGCAGCATGTTTCCAAACAGAGATGGCCCCAGACAAAATCACTAGCTGCAAACACCTGCATTTAGGAATATTCAGGACCCCAATTTTGAGGCTTGCGTCCCTCTCTACTGTATTGAATAGCTGTATTTAATACAATCTAATGGCAATTACAGAGCTCCGTACGCAAGAAACCAGTATCAACATACTGTTGTGCAGAGGCCTGTACTTTACCCTGTCAAAAGTAATGAAACCCCAACTCAGTCCCATATATAAAAGTGTTGGCAAAAGTTGTGGACAAAGATTAGTACAAACTGAATGGCTTCACTAAAAGAACTATGCTAAGGGGTCTTGAACGCTCCTAGTAAAGTCACAGATTTGGACATTGCTTGTTTGAAGATAATTCCTGAACCCCGGAATCCACCATGACGCTGTTGGGTCTTCGTTGTCCTGATAGTGAAAGATTTCCTGACTAAACCAAGCCAGAGAGAGGGAACATCACTAGTTTCGGCTAAATCCTGAACAGCACCTGTAATGTGAGTCTTAGGTTCCTGTTATCATCCCTTCGTTAATAAGTCATTTTCCTTTTCCATCTTATATCCTCTTTTCCTTTTCTCTTTTTGGCTTCTGGAGTCTACAGGAAAACCCCTTTTCTATGGAGAAAGGCCTGTCTGAGTGACCATCTCCCGCGGAAGAGCAGCTGATCAAAGCTGCTGCATGTGCTGAAGGAAACCCGTCTTTCTCTCCACATTTTAATTTTCTTTTCTGGATGTCAAAAAAAAAAAATTCTCTTGGTCCTGCAATCAGCTTTGACTACACCAAGGAAGGCAGCCCCATTGGTGCAGCCGCACAAAAAAACTGTTTGGGGAACCACGAGTAATGGATTTTGGAAATAGAGATTCATCACCTTTATCAACAATGTTTAGAGACTTTGGGTTGTTCTGAAGTCAACACAGGCATAAATGCTTTGTGGGTTCCACTACATTGCAATTTACTTCTCTCTTTTGCTGAAGGGGTCCAGTTCCACATCAGAGTGTCTGTGCACAGTAGAAGCACAAGTTCTTCTGCAGTTAACACCCAAGTTTGAGAACGCTTTTTGTTTTAAGACCTACGTGAATCTTTGTGCAGCTATTTCAGCTAGCCTCCCCCTGGATATTTACAGGATGAAGTCCTGGCCCCACTGAAGTCAATGGAAAAACTCCCATTGACTTCAACAGAGCTAGGATTTCACCCACAACATGTAGTTTCCTATCCAGCTTATCCCAGTAGACAATTAGAACTTGTCTTTGGGATGAAAGCTCAGATACTCATTTCCTTAACTTTTCTCTTCTGTCTTATTTTACACACCGGACCTGTTTTGACATGCAGAATAAATAAAAGCAGACATTTAAATATTCAAACACTAAATAAAAAATCCCAGTACAATGTAGCCTGCTTTCGTTAAATCTTAGATGAAGGATTATGATGGTGCTGCATTATTAATGAAACAAAGGTGGTAATACTCTCTTCCTAGGTGGAAAACATAGTGAGTAGCTTATTAACACACTTTAAGCAAATTTGTGAGCATTCCTTTTTTGTACGTGTACTATTTTGAGAAAGTTGGCATAGTTTTTAAGTCACAGACAAAAACATTTTTTAAGCCTATTATCCTTTTCAGGTCCCAGTGTCCCTGGAGAACCTTCTGGATTCAGTTTATTGCCTTCCATGATATGTGCCGCACAGTATTCTGTAATTTACAGTTTCTACGAGCTCATGTAAATATCTTGTGTCAGAGTGTTAAGTAGTGCTGTTTTTAAGCATTACTGTCATATTCCACAACACAGCTCTTAACATTTCCAAAACCTGGAAATTTTGAGTAGATACTGACTTACTCTGGTTTAAATCTGAAGAAACTCCACTGATTTGAAGTAAAACTGTAAATAAACTTTATTGGCTTGTTCCGTTTCTTTGTTTGTTTTCACAGTATAGCATGTTCTTTCACTCCTCTGATATTTAACTTACAGGATGTACTGATAAATGAGTCAAACGTCAGACTTTTGAAGAGTGATTGCTAATCTGTATGAATTTCTCTGTGGAAGAATGGGTATTTAACAAGCCATGATAAATCTGCTGACTATACACTCTGTCTGGAAATTCGATCTGCTCACAGTTTGGTGGTCTTGGACAGTGCTTATGTGCTGAAAATTCCAAACAACTGTGTAATTATGCCTTTTTGTTTGTTTACTTTGTAGTGTTTGTACCTACCTTTCTTAGTTTCCTCATCAATTTTCCATAGGATACCAAAATCACAAGTAATGGCAGTATGAAACAGGTGGTGAAGAATGTAATAATGTAGGTATGATCATTATAGGCTCCTGAATACCTGTATAAAACACAAAATGTATTATAATTTTAATATTACATTATTACTTCTTCAGTTTGTTTTGTGGAGAGGAAAAGAATCCTTTCATGTTCTCCAGTGATATCAGGAGTGCTTTGTGTGTGTGTCTTTACTTGATTAGAAAGCAAACCTTATATGTTGTGCTGTAAGAAGGCTGATGCTTTCAGAGATCAGTATAGTCTAACAACAAGACACTGAGTATCAGTATCTCTCACATACAGATATATTTTATAAACAGAATTTAATTATAAAACATTTTGTGACCCTTTGAAATGCAGGGATGTACAGAAATGTAACATTTTATTATAGGTGGCTCAAGCCACATACCTCTTGGATATTCTGGTCTAATTTTCAAAGGGTACACATTACATATAATGCTCTTTTGCTGGTACATAAACATTTCTATGAATATTGTGGGCAAATACCTCTCTGCATACACAAATGAGGGCTTGCGCACATATTGGAGTTTGTGTGAGCACAAATGAGGTGCACATAAATGGGCACACAATCTATTGTGTGTACTTTCAGACTCTAAGGTTATGGCTACACTTGCAGATGTAGAGCGCTTTGAGTTAAACCAGCCTTCACAGAGCGCAGTAAGGAAAGCGCTGCAGTCTGTCCACACTGACCACTTCAAGTGCACTGGTGTGGCTGCATTTGTGGCACCTGCAGTGGCATTGGGAGTGGTGCCTTATGGGCAGCTATCCCAGCATGCAATTGACTGCAATGTGCTTTTCAAATGGGGGGGTGGTGAGTGGGGTGGAGTGTGACAGGGAGTGTGTTGTGTGTATGTGGTGGGAGAGAGAGTGGGTTTTTGGGGGGCTTAAAGCATGTCCGCATGCTGTCTTGTAAGTTCAGACAGCAGCAGACCTCCCCCTCCTCTCCACCTCTCTCCCTCACACAGCATTCCACAGTAATGGCTTGCTTTGTCTCGGAGATGGTTGTCAGAAACGGAGCTTTCAAAGGGCATATCCACATTTCAAAGGGTGAGTTCAAAACAATAAGAAGAGTAGCTACTTGACTTAAGGGGATTATGGGACATTTCCACAGGCTGATCAGGGCGCAGTAATGCAACACCTCGCTCACACTGACGTCCTGGCATTTCTGCCACTACGCAGAGGTAGAGTACCAGCAGCGCTGTAGCTGCAGAGTCAGAGCGCTCTACATGCCTTGCCAGTGTGGATGTGGAGTGAGCTAGGGTGCCTGGGGCTGCTTTATTGCGCTGTAACTCGCAAGTGTAGCCAAGCCCCAAGTTAGCGTAGCCTCTGGTTTTGTTTTCTCACTGATGTTCTATGGGAGTTACCTTACCAGTTGGGCTCACAGGTAGTTCCAATCTTGCTGGTGGTGTAGCTGCTCCAGCCCATGGTAGGAGGGATGGTCCAGATAAAGGAAAAGATCCAGACGAAGATAATGCCCAGGGCTGCATGCTTCCCCCTCAGGCGCATATTTCCCAGTGGGCGACAGATCACAATGTACCTCTCAAAAGCCAGCAGAGCAAGAGACCAGAGACCAACGATTCCTGTAATGAAAATGTGCATCTTGGTCAAAAAGAGGACATTACAATACCATTTTAGTAGCAGATCAAAAAGCAAACTCCATCCTACATCACAAGCCCTTGCTATTAGTTCAAGCAGAGGTTGGATGTGTAAAAGAATTACCCCATATTTGAGTTTCATTTTGAGTGTGCAAAAGCTCTTAGACTGGACTACAGCTTTGGCCTGCTGTACACGGATTTAGAAACGCAACTCAAAGGGTGGATTGTTTTAATTGCATCGGATTTCTCCTCTTGTTCCTTGTGTGCCACAGAAAGATTTTTCTTATCAGAATGCAAGGGAAGCCATGTGTGGCTTGTAAGAATAATTGGGTAAGATCTATCTTAAAAAGCTGACTTTTCAAAAGTCTGAAACAGATTTAGCCCATTTGTAACTCAAACTGTCATGCAACTCTGTCTTACACTCAGCTGTCTGCCGCCTCAAGGAACCATTCTGCTACCCATGGGTCGTAGATACTCCTTTCCCCCCAGATGTGTACGTCATGCACCAAGGAGCCAGAGTAGTGAGGGTAGGAGCTGTCATGGGAGACCTAGACCATGCAGAGCTTCCCCCCAGGCTTGCCAGTTAAACCAGTCTTGGTGGGGCTGAGGGTCTTGTAGTGACCTTGGGATTCATTAAGTCACAAACCAGTGAATGAGAAAGGAATGAAACCTTTATTAACAAAACTAGAGAGTGTCTGTGATGAACTGCTGTACAGTGCTGCACTGTGTTCTCAGGCCAGCTGCTTCCAGGGCACATCTCAGAATTCCTATTTCATAATACTGTCCCTCATGAGGGAGCTTCTCTAAATTATAGTTGCACAAACTTATTTCTACATCTTCCCTCCTAAAAGAAAATTAGCTCTTATTTCTTGTATATAGAAGAACTATCTAATAACTCATACATTAAATTTGACCCAACTAATATGTTTCCATAAACTATAATCCATGTACAAAATGTATCAACTATCTAGAGAGGAAGGGTTACCTGCATATCACTCTGACATGACTCTTTACCACTCACTTTCCTCAAATACCCTGTGACATTACCCAGGGTACAATCTGGAATGCTGAACAGCTGTGTCCCCTTAAGTGTCCAACCTGGAGTGCTTTTTACACTGCTTTGCTGTGAGAACAAACCACTCCTGGTCCTGCTCACACACAGCCTCTAGCATGCAAAATCACTCCCAGCTAAATTAAATGAATGCTCTGACCAGCCACTCATGAATTACATGTAGAGCAACACCAGCAAACTCCCAGTCCCAGACTTGTCCCCAGAAATGTGCATCCTGTTCTGCCCAGCTCTCTCCTTCTGGACAATACAAGATCATAGAATGTCTGTCATTTCATTAATGGAACATGATATGGGCCAGATTTGTTATCGCAAGTGGAGGTTCCCGAACACTTCAATCCCAACACACACTGGTTTAGGTTAAACAATAAAAGAAGTTTATTAACTACAGAAAGAAGGATTTTAAGGGACTACATGTAATGAGATATAAAATCAGAATTGGTTACAAAGAAATTAAAAGATAATATGCAAACTAGTACCTAATTTAGTAAACTAAATAAATTCAAAGCAAAGGTTTTAATCTCACCATATGCATACAGCAGTTTGTATTGGATGAAAAGCATCCCAGCCAGGACCCCTTTCCCCAAACGATGTTTCCTTTGTCTTTCAAGCATTGTAGCTGCTGTGAGTAGAGATGGTGGAGAGATGTAATTGTGTTGTGAGTGTCCTCCATTCTTATACCATTCTCTGCTCTTTGAGGATTATCTACAGCTGGGGTTCACGTGACAGGCAGTCAGTTTACAAGGAAGATCCCAGCCAGGACTTAAATTCTCAGAGACTATTTCTCGGAGCTCCACACGTCTTCTCTGATTTGGGGCTCTGGGTTTCCGCTCTGGGAGGGGGGGTCTCTTGGGGCTTTAGCTGCTGGGAGCTGTGGCTCAGGTCTTCAGCCCTGTGGGGGGAGGGGGCACCAAGGCTCAGAGCATCAGCCCCATGGGAGGCACCGGGGCTGCTGCGGGTTTGAAAATATTTACCGAAGCTCTGCTGAATTTAAGCCCTGCTCCCAGCTGTTCCATTGTCAATATGTAAAGTTCTCACTGACACCCTTCTTCCTGCTACAGAATGGCTGCTTAACTAGGTAATAGTCTATAATAGTTTATCTGATTATGCTGATATTTGATGGGGCACTAGTGTGTCTTTGTCTCTGAAAAACTAGTTTGGGCCTGCTTGTCTTAAACTTGGAGCCTATTATAACAAAGTTATAAAATAGAATCTTATAACTTTACATACAATGTTGCCACATATATTTTACCAAGAAAATAATGTTCAGCAGATTATGAGTTTTCAAATGAAACCTCACAAGGCATACCTTGTACAAAATTTATCATAGTTTTATAAAAAGGGTAATGATAATGGTACAGACTGTCATAACCCCTTCTCCAGCCAGGTTAGCAAGTCTCTATGAGCCTTTCAGGATGTTTGATCTCACTCTCTAATCATCTCAGTATCAGCCTTTCATTAGTGTCTGAGTTCTCTTGTTGCTTTCCAGTTTGTCCTTTGTCCTTTGATGATAAACCATCAGTCAGTTAGTAAATGCCAGAATCCACATTCACTGTTTTGGAAACTTCTGCAATGAATCTTAGATCCTTTTGATTAGTCCAAAATGTGACCCCTTAGTCTGTGTGGACTATGTAAGACCTGGGATGCAGCAGTTCTTTAATGGTATCCCTTTGGCTCCAAATATTAGAGATGTAATTCCTCAGGCACTCTCTACTACCTAGGTTAAGAGATGGGAGATCATGGGCTTTTTTCTAAAAATATTTCTGCTTCCGCTTCTGATTTTCTTTCATCTTCCATGTTTCTTTCATCTTCCATCTTCATTGTCAGGAGATTTCAGCAAGTTACCAGAGATTGGTAAATTAGATCTGATCCTTCCCATTAACAGCTGAGCAGAAGAAGAGCTATTCAAATGCCCCCACTATCAAAAGTCTTTTTTCATAAGGTTCTTTACTGTCCATATAGATCTTTGCACAAGTCCATTTCATTGGGGGTAATTTGAACTTGATGTTTTGTGATGAAAATCCCAATTTGTGGCAAATTGACTAAAATCTGCTCTGGAAAATTGCAGTCCATTATTTCTAAAGACTTCATCTGGAATGACGTGTCTTGAAAATATTCCCTTCATGCTGGCTATCACTGACTTACTACTAGTAGTGTACTGGGTACAGAGAATAATAATCTGTGACTATTAAATAATTCTTTCATTTGCTTGGTAAATAAGTCAGTGCCTACTTTCTCATAAGGTCCTTGTGGCACTGTGCAAGGCATGGCTTTTAGTTCAATCACAAAAAGCAGTTTCCTACTGCATTAGTAATCTCGTGCTTGATCCACAGTCAACACCTCTCATCGGTGTTCCCTCTAAGCTGCGCACTGGGGTGGCCTCCCAGGAATGTTTGAAGTGCCGTGCAGTTGATTAACAGAGCCAGGTGCCCCTCCCCCTGCTGCTTCACATTGCTCCTGCCCTCTGCCTTGGAGCCCCTGCTGCTCCTGGGACCCTCCTGCTGGCTGTGCAGAGTGGAAGAGAGGGGGGCTGATGTCAGGGTGTTCCCCTACACCCGCCCCTGTACCGCAGCAGGGGAGACAGAACAGCCTCACCCAGGACTCCAAGCCAGAGAGGGTCTGAGGTCTGAACACTGGGCAGTGAGTGAGTGCCTTTACCTTAAAGAGACAACGCACAGTCTCTCACAGACTTCCCCAGCATACACAATCTCTGACTGTCTGTCTCTCTCCTCTCTCTCTTACACACACACACACACACACTGTGTGTGTCTCTGTCTATACACAGAGAGAGAGAGAGTCTGTGTGTATCTCTGTCTATATATACACACACACACACAGAGTCTGGTAGTTCCTGCAATGCACATATATTCTCTGTAATTTTATTCTTTCAAAGTGTGTTATTTTAGTTTTTTGACTGGTCTATGCATTTCATCATTTTTATTTCTCTCTTGCACTTAAATTTAGTTCTTTGAGTAGTGAGTTCTAAAATGCCTAACCTGTCCTGGCTGGAGTAATTATCCCTATGGTAACTTTTTTAAAATATATATTATATCTAGATCTTTTGTTTCTGTTGGTGGCGCACATGCACACTTTTCCTCGGTGCACATAACTAAATTTATTCCATACCTAGATGGAAAAATTAGAGGGAACATTGCCTCTCATGCCCATTGGTTGCACTTCTCAATTCCTAAATGACTATTGTGGATCTTCTGTAGCATTTCTTTCTGAAAATTTATTGGTATTGCAACCTTGCAGCCCTTGAAAATCACTCAGTCTATCACAGTAAGTTCATATCTGCAGTTCCAATAGTTAGATCCCTGTGCAGATACAAATTTATACCCGCGGACACGGATATCTGTGGATATAAATCGGTATCCGCAGCACTGTATGGCTCTCCCAGGAACTGCAGGGGTGAAAGGAGCAGAACATGGGGCCACTGATCCCAGGAGCCAGCGCCCCATGCCAGCAGTTCTTCCGGTGTGGCTGTACCCCTTCCCCGTCCCTTCCCTGCTGCTGTCTGCGTCTCCTGTCTGCTTGCACACACTAATGTGACCAGGGACAACTGCTGGTGAGCCTGGTGCCCGCCCCAGTGAGCGGGGCTGGGGTCAGTACAGCCACGCTGGAGGAGCTGCCAGTGCAGAGCAATGGCTCCTGGGAGTGGTGGCCCCATGTTCTGCTCCCTTCACCGCTGTGATTCCCGGGAGAGCTCTGCAGTTCCGCAGATATTAATTTATATCTGTGGATATCTGCATCTGTGAGTATAAATTTGTATCCGCGCAGGGCTCTACCAATAGTCTCTTATACTTGGACAGCAACTGCATATTTCTTCAAGCCACCCTTTAATTATCACATTAAGGATCTCCAATGATTCATCTTTCATCGCTTCCCCTCTGATTTGTTGCAGGTTTTTGTTAGCTACAGGAATTGACTTTACAATCAGATCTACACAGGCTTGCATCTCTATCGCTCGGGTCTTCTCTGGCTTCAGAGTGAGAGTCACCACTCAGGAAAGTGCATCATAGTAAACATGAATTTGCTGGGTGTTTAGGTCACAACCAAATCATACTCTTGCTGCTTTATCATCATTCTTTGACTACTTAAGATACAGTAATTTAGCAGTTTGCCAAATAATGCTATGAGAGGCTTCCTGTCTGTTTCAACATCAACTGTCTGGCCATAAATATATTGCTTGAAGCTCTCACGGGCAAACAATATTCCTAAAAGCTTGTTCTCAATCTGGGCATATGTGGTTTCCACATCAATCAGTGACTTGGATGTGTACGCCGCTGGTTGCCAACAATCATCGTGTTTCTGTAAAATCACTGCACCTAATCCAGACTATGAAGCATCTGCTGAAATTTTAATAGGCCTGCTTGGTGCATAGAACTTCAGCACTGGCTCTTGTATGAGTTGTTGTTTCAAACCTTCTCTATGATTCCTCCTGTTCTGCACCCCAGTACCATTCATTTTTATTTTCTAGAAGTTTCTTCAAAGCTGCTACTTTTCTAGATATGAATTTTCCAAGATAATTAACATTCCCAGAAACCACTGGACATCTTTCTTTGACTGGGGACATGGCATTATTTCAGTGGCTGAAACCTTCCTCTTGTCAGGTTTTACACCTTTGTTGGAAATAGTATCTCCAACAAAAGTCAGTTCTGGAACCCCTGAAACATGTCTCTCCCTATTTAGTTTCAAGTTTGCAACTCTAGCTGCATCCAAGACTTCCTGAAATAACACTCTTCGTTAGTTGAACCCCAGATTATGATATCATCCATTGACGTGTTGAGACCATTCATATGTTCATATATCATAGGCATGGTTTTGTGGTACACTTCTGGTGCTGAAGCTATGCTGAGAGTAGGCATAAGAATCTGTATCTTCCAAATGAGATATGAAATATGCATAATGTTGAGCTTTCTTCCATTAATTGTTCCTGCCAAAATTCTGAGGAGGAATCCAATTTACTGAAATACTGTGCATTCGCAAATTGAGCAATAATCTCCTGTGTGGCTGGCAGTTTGATATGTTCTCCTTTTATAGCTTTGTTGTGGTCTCTCAGATCTAAGCCTATGTGTAGCTGGCTGTTGTTTTTCTCCACAGTGAGTAGGAAGCTCACCCATTCTGTTGGTGCCTCAATTTTTTGTATTATGTGCATAGCTTCCATTCTTATGAGTTCCGCCTTAAATTTATCACAGAGTTGAAATGGCACCTTTCTACATGGATGGATAACTGGAGGGATCAGCTTGTTTATCTGGATTGTATGGTCACCCTGCAAGCAACCAATCCTTGAAACAAATCATGATATTCCCAAATGAGTATCTCATAGCCAGGTTCAATATGATCTTGTAATGAGAGCACCTATTTTACCAGATTGAGTTTTTCACAGGCAGCCAGACCTAAAATTGGTGTCACCTGCTTTGGTACTACAAGGAACGGGAGTCTGTATGTGGTGCTTTTATATTTGACGTGAGCGATGCTCCTCCACTTCACTGGTATATTTGTTCCAGAATAACCAATTATATTTATATTTGTTGGTCTATTTTCATTCCCTCATAATCTTGTTCAGACAGACTATTAACCTGAGCTCCCTTGTCCAGTATGAGTGGAATAATTGCTTCATTCACTTTCATTGGCAGCATCCAGTCCATCTCATCAGTTTTGCTTGATCCAGGCACGTCTATGTGAAACTCCCCAACCATGTTTTCAGCTACATGCACTTGACTTTTCTGGGATTTGCAGCATTTTGCAAAATGGTTATTTTTTTCACACTTATGCCAGAGTTTCCCAAAGGCAAAACAATGTTTGGGGTCTTTCTGAGATCCAAATCTTCCACATAACCACCTGTACCCAGTCTCCCTGCTAGCAGTGCTTTTCATAGCTGGTAGTTCCACTTTTTAATTTGACCCTTTCTGGCTATATTCTTTTGTACTTAGTACATGGATAACCCCTTCTGATGAATTCAGCTCTTTGGTTTGTGCTTTCACAATTTCTGCCCCCTGAATATCTGGAGGGCTTTTTTTCAAGTTAAATCTCCTTCACAGAGCAGTCTCTCTCTTAACACATTGTCTTTAGTGCCACAAATGATTCTGTCTCTAAGCAGTGACTCTGTGAACTCACCAAAGACACAGGTTTTACTGAGTTTACTTAATTGTGTGACACATTGCTCTATGGTGACATCAGGTTTTTGCATGCAGGTAAAAAATTTCTCTTTAAATGTCTCATTCCTTTCTGGAATGCAATGTTCCACAAGTTTAGTCAACATTTTACTTAATTTCAGGCTTTTACCTTCTTTAAAGTTGTTATAAATATTCGGTGCTTCTTCCATAACAACATGCAAAAAGATTGATTTCCCCTTTCCTCTGCTTTCATTTCAAACACAGGAGTTAACCTCAGAATTACTGCAGTTTCTTTCTCATTCAGCAGTTCTGACACCATGTAATGATCTTGGGGTTCATTAAACAATAAAGCAGTGAATGAGAAAGGTATACAACTTCTATTTTAAAAAACTAGAGTGTCTGTAGTGAACTGCTGTACACAGCTACACTGTGTCCTCAAATCTCTTTCCAGGACACATCTCAAAATTCCTATATTCATAATACTGTCTCTTAAGACTGAGCCTCTCTAAATTGTAATCTTGCACAAATACAACTCTACAGGTCTGGCCCTGTACATTCACAGCAATCCTTCCCAAAAGCTTTTGACTCCCCGCACACTGCCAATTACATTTGCTGAACTCTATGCCCAAAGATGTATGGATTTTTTTTTTTAAGTTGTAATGCAGGCATAGTACTCCGATATCTCCTCATCTGAGCTCAAGACCTGGAGCCAACAACTCCTGAGTTAATTACATTTGCTCTGCCATGACATTCCTTGTCCCATTATCCCATCTGTGATAATACCTCATAGGGAGGTATGTGGAAAGGTTTAATTAGTCAATTTTTGTAAAGCACTTTGAGGAAGAAGAAAAAAATTACAGAATTGCTAAATAATAGTACTAATTACCTATTTAGGGTTTGTACATGATCTTGTGTGGTTTGGACTTACTCTATTTGGCAAAATAGAATCATAGAATATCAGGTTTGGAAGGGACCTCAGGAGGTCATCTAGTCCAACCCCCTGCTCAAAGTAGGACCAATCCCCAACTAAATATGGTTGCTAGAAACAAATACAATCCCCTGACTATATAATTTTCACACTTTGAGGTACTTAATATTTCAGAATAATCCAAGAAAGTTGGCAGGTTCAGCTCTTCCCAGTCTCTCTTATGCTATCTGGCAACTTCTAGAATGGACGAGCTGTCAGTGGAGGACAAGGGACCTTCCTTATGGGTTACTCACTGCGGGCTGCTCTCATACATCAGTATGGATGGTTACGGCTACACACCAATATTTCTGACTTCACTCTCTAGCACTGTCCTTGAGTATGAGAGCTGACCTGGTTAGGAGATTACCACTGCTATGTGACTTCAGAAAAATGATACCCAGCTATAAAACAGCAAAAAGAGAAAAAGCCAGTTAGAACGCAGGCATTGATTTATTTTTTGTATGGGATGCCTCATTTTAATTTCCTGTCTGGGCTGAAGACCTGGGAGGTGAAGGGGTGTAGGGAGAAAGGCTATAACTTGCTAGATTTACTATTCTTTTTCAGTTTTTAATATACTTCTTATATTTAGTAAAGTAACACAACAAGAAAGGAACATGAAAAATGACTGATTTGAAATAGATCATGTCGAAATTAGTTTCTGATCTTTGTTTATAACACTGCATAGTATGTCAGAGATTACTATTGCAGCAATATCACAATCCTGCCCAAACTATAGGAAGATCCTCATAAAATAAGAGGAGTTTTACTATCAAAACATTTTTTCATACTTTGTGAACAGCAGGTGCGTGCTTGCTCTCACTCTCTCTCACACATACACACCATGAAAATTGTTAAATATTGTTGTTAAAATATTTTACTACCATTGTTTTACAGAAAAATATAACCGAACATATGTTAAAGATAAAGACATTCAATGAGCAACATGAACTCAGCAAGCCACAGCAGCTACAGAACATAATTTATTGGAAAGAGCCAGTGAAATTATTTGCATGTAAAGTCAGTGACTTTATAAAGTTGCAGTGTACACAACCACTTTGATGTTCCTGTTTGATTCTAAACCTACACAACACAGACCTCAGCCTGAGGGAAACTTCTTTTCTTAAGGCTTCATATTAAGACAAATGAATATGAAAATATAAACAAAGTTAAGCTTACCAAAGAATGTGATGGCAAATCCCTCCAGTACACAAGCCCAATGTCCCATATAAAAATAGCCTTTTATATTGGTAAAAAAACTGATCGTGCCACCAATCAATGAGACCAGAAAATCAGCTATAGCCAGGTTTACTATGACATAATTGACAGGTTGCCTCAACTGTTTGAACTTAAAAGTCACCAGTATGACAGCAAAATTCTCAGAGAGCGACAGAGATGTCACCAAGAACATTAATGCAGCTAGAAGCTGGAAGTTCCAGGGCTGGATGATTTCCAGGGGGTGGTGGAAGGGATCCCAAGGTGTGGAGCTTGCAGTGGAATCAGAGAGCAGAGACTCATTTTCAGGTGCTCTGAACACATCCATTTCTTTCTCTCCCTCGCCAGAGAAGGGAAGGATCTCAGATAGTATTTGACTGTATAAGGGGTAGATATTCAGGTTAAAAGGAGGAATTTGCCATCCCCAACAGTCGTTTAAACAAAAGCTCCATGAATCTTCCTTTCCAAATGAAGTCTAGGAAGTAAAAGTTTTGGCTAGAGGAAAGTTCAGTGCTGTGCATGGGAAGTGGGAACAAGTCCAAGCAGGGAGATCTCTGACAAGTAATATAGTCTTCCTCTCATGGCAGCTGTTACTGTAACCACGTCTGCAATAAAGCCCGACTACAGGAGCAGCAGGATTTCTCCTTCTGACACAGCCAACAGCAACACAGAAACACACCTCTGATCACCCCTGTTCTGTGGGGGAAGATGAGGCTGTGGCTGGAATCCCTGTCTGCCAAACAGCCTTGTAAAAATGAAACAATCCCTTTGTTACTGAGGGAGGGGTGGTCTTCCTCATGTCTCTCTCTGCTGGAAGCACAACAGAGTGGAGCCTCCTTTCTTACTTCCCTCTGCTTGAGAGAGGGAAGACCTGACAACATTAGGTGGAATGCCAGAGCAGGCGTAAAATGTGACAACGATACTGCAGTGTAAAATTGTCCAAATCTAAGCTACTCTGCTAACTTACATTCCCTAAAACTGAAGCGACATCAGACCAGTTGCCTGTAGTATTCATCATAATTTCCTTAGTCATTTTTCACTGTACTGTACACATTTTTTTCAGTAAGGGGTTTTTACTGATTTTGTAATAAAAGCATACAAAAAGTTATATTTTCAACACCAAACCAGCACATACTAATTAAGGGTCAAGTTCTGCTCCCTTACTCACACTAAGTTGCATCTTACTTCTTGAGTAATATACTCCTGCACCCATTGTGGCTACCTGACAAGTAAGGCTACTACTCAGCAGGAATAAGGGTGGCAGACTCTATTCCTCAAGAAGAATATCTGTTTTTCCCAGATATTTTTAGCAAGTGGCACCGGGGTGTCTTATGTGTGTCACACACTTATGATTTAATTGCTTAAAATCATTAACTATGTAAAATACTGGGGAAAATAACTTGACACAATCACCAAATTCTATGGATCAGATCCTCAACTGTTGTGACTTGGCATAGTTCCTTTGAGGCTCTGCAGCTACGTCAGTTTATACCAGTTCAAGCTCTAACACAATATGCAAAAAGAAACAGCAAATCTCATATACACACATTATTAACTGCAAATACAGAATTTACAAACACACATGAGCAAATGAAATTGGTATGTCATGACCATGGAATAGTAGCATATAGAGGAACCCTAATAATCAGTCATATACCTCTAAAAAAGATGATCAGATGCCCAGTCTCTAACTCATCTTTATTCATCACCATTATGATTATTTATTAGTTATGTTACTCTTTCCAAGTTGGCCTGCTCAGTTCCCCATTTCAAGCCAGTGATCTGGTACCATATGGATGGGTCTCTGAAGCTGCTCTAAATTATATCACAGGTGGGGATGCCCCTTAACAGCCCGAGAATATAGAGATTATTTATTTATTAGTGTTTCTACTGAGATAGTGCCTAAGGATCCCAATCAGGAATCAGAGCACCAATGTACAAACCCAAAAGCAAAGACAGTTCTTCTTAAGGAGCTCACAGTGTAGGATTTTGACACTGAACAAAATGAATCAATGGCAAGGTTTAGGGGGCAGTGAGGACAAAGTAATATAAAAATGCATCTGCATAGGTTAGTGGTTTCAGTAGTCACAGGAATACGAGGCTCTAAGCCCCAAGAGGACATGATAAAAGGGTCAGCCATCTCTACTGGCAAGTGCCGGAGACAGTCTTCCCTGTAGGCAATGCAAGGGAAGAGGTTCTCTATGCTTCTTCCTCAGAAGAAGCCACAGAAGATTGGATTTGGAATTTTAAGTTTAACTTCATTTCATTTTTCCATTCACTTTTTTCATATGTGGCATTACTGGTCACAGTGGGATTTTTCTATATTGTTAACTAAAACAACTAGAACTGATTTTTATTTTTTAAGAGAGAGTGAATTATAAGAATTTCTGGACATGATGATGGAAAGATGGTGGGGAAGATACTAGAATATTTTTTAATTCAAAAGTACCAAACCCATCTTCCATCATTTAAAATAATATTTTTATTTACAAAGCATCAACATACACTCAGTTGAAGTGGTTGGGCAATACACAAACAGATCGAATTTAATAGCACAAACTTCATAAATAATTTAAAGCTAACTAAAATATTAAAAAGCAAAAAGTGGCATAATTAAAAATCAAAATACACTGGTTAAAATTGATGGTCCAGGTGCTCAGCTGGTGTAAATCACCATAGCTCCATTGACTATGCCAATTCATGACAGCTGAAGATCTGGCCTAGGAATTTATAATTAATGTTTCATATTATCATGTTATTTAAAATGATGTAACATCACCTTAAATGCCATTAACTGTGAGAATGAAACCAAACGCTGATACTGTCCTTTTAGCTCTTTTTCACACACTGCATGCTGTTCCTCATACTGAGTAAGTTTTTATCCTGAAAAGTAATTTTTGTAAGTGGGATTTAACTTACATTGGAGGAAATTAGTTCATAGCTAGATTTGCATGACAGTTACAGATTCCTTGGCTATATGTTGATCGTCACTGTTTGGGCATTTTTATGCTGTTGCTGTATTGTACTGCTAACTTGTATCACTGGTAACTTTAGATACAATTTAAATGTATTCCCTTCTATCTTGATATTGTGCTACCCTTTTCTGTTCAACATTCTCAGAAATTTGGTTTCACATGTCTCATTGTCTTGGCTATCTATATTTTGTTTGTCTTGTTCTTCTTCTTTGGTAGGTCTACTTTATGACTGAATATGATTCCCTATGATGTGTATTTTTATTAATTTTTACAATATACACTTGCTGTATCCTGGATTGGTTCTCCTGTCTTGGTGTGTTACAGGAAGAGATGAGCAAATATTGGATTTTTTAAAATTATTTTATTTTATTTTTGGTCACTGGAAATTGTCTGGTGGAAAAAACAGTTTCAGATAGAATTGAAAATATTTTTTTTAAATTTTCAGCAAAATGTTTTGTTTGACCTAAAATGAAACACTTTGTTTCAATTTTGAACACTTTTGAGCATTTTAAATTTTTTAAAATAAAATTTCTAAGCAATAAGTAATTTTGAATTGAAAAAGCAAAACATTCTGTTTAGAAAATATCAAAATGTAACATTTTGAATTTTAGATTTTTGTTTTAGAGTTTTTTTGTTTTGTTTTTTGGTTGGTTAGTTTTTACCAAAACAATTCAGCAACATCAACACAAATTCATAGAACTATTTGGTGTTGCCAAGTCTGCATTTTCCACTGAAAAAATTTTTCATAAAATTATATTATCCAGCTCTACTTATGGCTGTTATTTTCCAGATCATTCTTTCATCCAAATAACATATCTATATGTGCTTTCTCTGTTGTTGTTGTTTTTTTCGTGAGACTATTTTTCTTGAAAATTAATAATGATTAAATTTAAAAAGCCAAAGCAATGCTCTAAGAACCCTGGTCAGCAGGGGGCTGTTCTTAATTGTTGTCATTTAAAGAGGCAGTTCTGCAGCTATTTACTTATATTTACACAACCAGGAAGTGTACAAGATTTTTTAGTTCCTTTTATAAAACAAATACCCTTAATCCTTTCTCCTGATGTTAGGTTTCAGAGTAGAAGCCATGTAGTCTGTATCCAAAAAAAAAAAAAAACCAAAAAACAGGAGTACTTATGACACCTTAGAGACTAATAAATTTGTTAGGTTTCAGAGTAGCAGCCGTGTAAGTCTGTATTCGCAAAAAGAAAAGGAGTACTTGTGGCACCTTAGAGACTAACAAATTTATTTGAGCGTAAGCTTTCGTGAGCTACAGCTCACTTAGAGCATTAGGGCTACAGCCCACTTCATTGGATGCATTGAATGGAACACATAATAAGAAATACTTCAGTATGCTAAAATATATATAATATATATATACACATACAGAGAAGGTGGAATTTGCCATACAAACTGTAAGAGGCTAATTAATTAAGATGAGCTATTATCAGCAGGAGAAAAAAAACCTTTTGTAGTGATAATCAAGATGGCCCATTTAGACAGTTGACAAGAAGGTGTGAGGATACTTCACATGTGGAAATAGATTCAATATGTGTAGGTTTCAGAGTAGCAGCCGTGTTAGTCTGTATTCACAAAAAGAAAAGGAGTATTTGTGGCACCTTAGAGACTAACCAATTTATTTGAGCATAAGCTTTCATGAGCTACAGCTCACTTCATCGGATGCATACTCGGGTACCACAAGTACTCCTTTTCTTCTTTCTATATGTTCCATTCAATGCAGCCGATGAAGTGGGCTGTAGCCCACGAAGTTTATGTTCTAATAAATTTGTTAGTCTCTCAGGTGCCAAAAGTACTCCTGGGTTTGTTTGGTTTTTTTCCTGATGTTAGGTTTTTCCACTTCTATTAATGGTCAGTCTTTTCTTCCTGGCCTTTCAGTCTTTTCTTTTGCTGTATACATAAACTGTTAACATTTCCACATTAACGTGAACTGCCCTGCCATGTAAGAATTTATCATGTTCCAGATTTTTAGTCCATTCCTGCAGTCTCTGCTTTACTTGGAATAAGTGCTAGGGACTGACTTGTTTCTTTACCAAAGACCCTGGTGACTAATACTACTTCTATAAAGTAAACAAAGAGGGGAGATTGCAGGCTGGACAAGACCTTCAGTCTGTGGCTAAATTACTGTTGGTTTGAGCAGGTAACATAAGGTCAGAGGTCAGGAGCGGATGTAAATAACGTTTGTGTAAAATGCGCTCAGTAATTCCACCTGCAAGACAAATTCAGGGTGGTCAGAACTGTGCTACCTAAAACCAAGTCCGTTGTCTGGAATTGTACATGTCAGTTTTTGAACTTGGGTTGAATTTACCAGTCCCAGGAGACCTAGAGAAGGAAATGG